CAGAAGACACAGACAGCGATGATGGCAGAGAGACACGACGACGACAAACTAGGGTTGCGAGGAATCCTCAGTGATGATCCAACGAAATTGCAACAACTATGACAAGGACCACGGCGAACAACAAAGATGAGCGACGGAGACCCAAACACCTCTAGCGAAGACCATATACGAAGTCTTGACTAAGTCAATAATGGGTTATGATTGAAGACGAACACGAAGGTCCCTAGTTATGGTCGGAATGTGACGATAGAAGCATATGGGTCAAGGAAAATTAAACCAACAACGATACAAGTAGGATGCACCAGTCAAGAATGGCAACCAGGGTTCCAAAGGCGGTGACTATGGTTCCAAAAAATGGTGAGGGTTTTAAAGGCAGCTAGGAGTTGCATATGCTCTAATACCATCTTAAACTTAGGAAGAAGAATAATATTATTGTATTTCTTCTTACTCATCTAAAACAAATACAAGGTACTCTTATATAGAAGAAAGACCATCAACCAATAAGGAAAGAAATATTACAAATATAAATAAGGAATACATGCATAGCATAAAAGGAAATCCAACACATACCAAGTGCATCCTCCTCAATAAGCTCTGATTCTCTGTACAATGGATGGCTGCAGCAGGTGTTCGTCCAAACAAGAGGGAATGTTACTTTTGTCGCAGAACGTTGCTAACAAAATAAGAAGAAAAAAAAGTTTGTTACAGCATATATTATATGTATGCCAGTGTAAATGCGTTAGATCTAGGGATTTATCAGTCCTTTTCCCTTTTGGTTCATGGCTTTCATGCATGCCTAAGTGAAAATAAGAAATACTAAAACAGTATTATATCATAGGTTATTACAACATCATTCTGAATTCTCTGTGGTCGTTATGAATTTATTTCAAGTGATGCTATGGTTTGAAATTTAGGCCATCACTTCGAGGTGGCCTTTTGTCAACACCACCAACCCCAGGTAGAGTTAAAGAGAGATAAGTTTCATTGGCTGTTTGCTTGAATAAGCTGCACATGTCACACATGAGGATAAGTGGTCCATCGCCACTTCCATGCGCTGAAGCATGAGAGCAAGTGGGAAGTTCATTTTGAGTTCCATTGCTCGTTCTCGCCTGGTCTAATGTCATGTGTTCTATTTGTGTATTTGGTATAGGCAGAAGCTGTTCAAGTGTCAAAATTTTCTGGAAAAGAGCCAGCTTTTATCTTCCTTTAGTACGTTTTTTACTTCTTCCTTTTGGGAAAGGAAACAAAATGAAGATGGTTTTAGTATGAGTTAATTAATGGTTGGAGATGGTCTTAAAAAACGGAAGAGAACATGCAACCCCATGCTGTAAGTATACAGATTAAGACCCAAATTATTGTTACTACATACCTGAAGAAGCAACTCAAATTTATTGTTAAATAAGAAGACACTGAAGGCTCTATGGAGTGCTTTGTTTGACTCAATATTATCCATCAAGTGACCTGCAAATTATAAGACCAAAAAGAAATCAAGATGATCAGAATAAAAGTTTGAACAACAAGAAGAAACAAGGAGATCGATTTAGCAATGATGGAATTTAGATTATGTTTACTGAATCACATGAAATTTTACCTAACTTGATAGGTGTAATAGATGTAATGCATCAAATACAGCCTTATATCTTGAAATTAATTCATCAAGTTGATGATAAAATACACGGACGTTCCAGTGGACATTATGCACTTGTTACACAACAACCCCTTAGAGGAAGGGCCAAGCAAGGCGGACAACGGGTGGGAGAAATGGAGGTTTGGGCTCTAGAAGGATTTGGTCACTTATGCTTCTATTGTAACAAAAGATTCCCTTTTTATGTGGATTATGTGGAAAAGGCCCGTATCAATAATTATGATTTTACGTATGGACAATTCGCTTTGCAATGCCTTGTTGATATTTTAAGTTGAAATCCTACAAATTCATAGCATAATTAGGGGAAAAGGAGGAGAAGCGAGGTGGAAATACAAGGGGTATAGAACATTTACATCCACGCCCATTTGAAAAAGAAAGTACAACATAATTATATGTTCATAATACAAAAATAATGAGTAAATCCATAAACAAACCCTTTTTACCTCGCTGGGTTCGAGGTTTAAAAGTCTGCTTAAAGATACATAACACATAATAAATAAAATGAGGGTTACCCAGGCAGTACTTACAATTATATTTAGAATCGTGACCAACAATATTATCACTTTCATCCACCAAAATGCATCTGCAAGGTTTCAATTAAAGAGAATTCATCAATTTCTGGCATGATTACGCCATTAAACAATCAGAGCATAATGATAGAAGTCTCTAAAGAAAGAAGAAAAGTATCAAGAAAATGAGGCGAATAAAATTGAGCTTGGAAGTCAATCTTGAAATGAAAATCACTAGGCAGAAAGAGTAAGTTCATATGCAAAGATAAATTAACTAATCCTAAACGAATAGTGATATAGAAAGTTTCAATATATAGGACTGTAGGTAAATGTGGGGTATCTAGATTTTGGTATCACATATATCCAATAATTTCTCATATGGTCACCATGGTTCACAATAAGGTGCATTTGAATTCTTGTCCATGTGACTAACAAATGGCCATCTACCTTAGCTCATGCACCATTAACTCAAACTTAACTTCACCAATATGGAATTTGCTGATAAACACAAAGAACCCTTAATTTAATTCAATGGGGGTTCCACCAAAGCCCTCTAGCTTGATTAATTTCAAAGATTTAACCAATAGCCACACATAAATGGCTGAATTCTTAGATTAGAGTAGCAAGTAGCAATTTCTTACTCCTGGCCTGCCAAATATTTAGACATTCACAACCATCCATGAACAATGAGCTTCTTCATTCATAAAACTGTCAAACTAGACAAAGCTTTATACGGCTAGAAAACAGAATCCTTAGCAATTTAACAAAACAATCGAACTCCTTCCAGAAGCCAAACAACAAAAAAAAAAAGACGAATATCAGCATCCATGGTAGAAACGGAAATCAAAAGAACTCAAGCAAACAAAAATAATCCAAAATTTAGACCAAACAAAAGAAACCCAGAACAGAAATCGGGAAGGGAAGGGAAATTAACAAGAAACGCACTCGTCATCGAACATAAGGCGCCGCTGAACGGCATCCATGGAAGCATCAGCAGCGGAATCCATGGTGGTGTTGGTGGAGAGATAGCAGCGGGAGACCCTAGCGAAGAGGGGGCGAGAGGGGGAAACAGAAGAAGCGAAACGACATTTGGAAGAGAAGGAAATGGGAGGGGGGAATGAGAGAGGGGTTTTGAGGAGGTGAGAGGTTATTAGAAACATTGGGGAATTGGGGAATCCACCATTTGAGGATCAAATGACCTGCAAATCGCCTTTTGAAGAAGATCGGAGGTGGCGTGAATAACTGCCGCGCTGTCTCACGTCGCGACTCACCAATATGTAAATTTCTCAATTCAAGAATTTGGATATTTATTGACTTTTTTTTTTCTTTCCTTTTTTTTCATTTTAGTTGAGTTTGACTCAATTTTGAGTTTACAACCACCCAAAAATAACATTTAATCGAACATAAATTTATTTTACTTTTAAAAATATTAAAATATTTAAGATTCTTAAATGATAAAAGTCTCACATCTGCTAATTGATGATAAAAATCATGCCCTCAAATGTAAAGAACTCCAAAAGATTACCTGACATGAACTACTAAAGAACTACTCAAGAAGAATTAGACAGTTCACAGTCAGTCAAGACTCAACTCCTTATGAATGAGACAGAACCAGAACCCTCTTTCACTTTTGTTTCTCCTTCCCCTGCCCCTCTACTAATTACCTGACTGGATTGACCAGACTGAACCCTCTTTCACTTTTGTTTCTCCTTCCCCTGCCCCTCTACTAATTACCTGACTGGATTGACCAGACTCAACTCAACATTCATGATCCTTCACGGTAATGAAAGACTCAACCACCCTTTGATTGATTGAAGAACATTTTCCTTATGGTCTCATTGCTTCTCTTCGTAACCTTACCCCTATTTATTCTTAAACTTCTCCGGTAAAGACTCAACTCAAGACGAAACATTCTAGATCTTCCTCTACTTCCTCAATCAAACCCCTTTGACTTCTTGAACTCGGTAAACTCAGGGACAAGTCTTTTGATGAATTCTTTCTCTTCTTTTTGATTGCTTGCTTTCACTTATCCACCTTAGATTTTAAATTATTTAAAAAAAGTTTAATCTAAAAAAAACACCTTCAACTGTATTCATAAAAAATTAAAAATTAATATATATATATATATATATATATATATATATATATATATATATATATATATATATATTGTCCAAAATTCCATGAAACACACCTAACGGAGAAATCTTTTGCTTTATTTGATTTTATAAATTAAATAAATGCTAAAACTAATTATTATATCTTCGCAATTAAGTTAGGTCCAACTGGGCGAAACTTAATATAAATAAATTATAATCAATAATTAACGAAACTTAATATAAATATTTAATTTTGTAGTAAGTTATCTTGAAATCTAAGATTTAGACTAAGCTACTAGTACATCTGAGAATTCTTAATTGGCTAGTTGTAATAGACCCAGACTGTGGAACAAAGGATTATCCCGGACCTACACCGAGGTATTGACGGTGATTCTCAAATATCGCAGAACAGAATTTGATACGGTGAGATAGAATGCAATAGAAACAAAGACACAGGGAACGGAACGGGTTACCTACTCTTAACGGTCAAAGCGAACCCTTTCATTCCGAATTAAAGAATTCGGAATGAATCAAATCTCCCCATGATTCAAATCCGTTGTCATGCGTAAGACATGTTGAGGTTGGCGAAAATAATGACATGTTCGTTTTTTACATACATATGATAAAACTTACGACGACATTTAGGATTTTACATTAAATTCTTACTAAAATTAATTTGGATTAAACGCTCTTAAATCCATGATTGAAGTTGGAAGTTAATCATGATCTTTAAGATTCACTAATTAAATCCGTTCAAAATAGATCAGACCATTAATCTTTCAAATGATACTCGATGCATCTATGTTCTAAGCTACAGTCGATATTGAAAATGTTGTTGACAAAGTACATTAGAATTTTACAACCTCCTACATAAAAATTGAAGGTGGTTTTTACATGGTGACCATGAACTTTCACTTTTTACTCTTCAGGTCTTCTACTTTGCTTTATTTAAAAACGACCCCCAGAAGCAGATAATAACATAGAATAATTGGGAAGGCAATCAACATTCCAACAACCACCCTGACACAAACAACAAAACAAAGTATAGGTGTAAATAAATGGATGATAATTAATTTATTATTGAGAAAAAATATATTCTAATAATATGAACACAAAAATTCAAAATTAAAATTTTTAGAATATTAAAGGAAATCAAATATTGGAGGCTAGGTTATTTAATTACCCTAATTATTACATCATTTTATTGTTTTGTTCTAATTTTTCCTAACCTAAATGGACCCTAACTTGTTTCAAAATTTTAAACAAAATTTTTCGGGTTAAAATTATAATGTCCCACATCCGCTAATTTAGGGAATGATCATGGGTTTATAAGGAAAATTATCTCCATTGGTATGAGGTCTTTTGGAGAAGCCCAAAGCAAAGCCACGAGATCTTATGCTCGAGGTAGACAATATCATACTATTGTGGATAGTCATGTCTAACATGATATCAGAGTCATGCCCTAAACTTAACCATCTCAATAGAATGCTCAAATGTCAAACAAATGACTCAAAAAGAAAAATGAGTCGATGCTCCTTAAAAAATGATTAAGACTCCAAAAGAAAAAAGAGTCGAGCCCTTTGGTATGCAAGGGGAGGTGTTGAATGAAAGTCTCACATTAACTAATTTAGAGAATGATCAAGAGTCTATAATCAAGGAATAACATCTCTATTGGTATGAAGCCTTTTGGGGATATATCAATAGATAGCTCAAATGTCGAACAAAGGACTCCAAAAGAAAAAGGAGTCGAGGCTCGTCAAAGGCATAATAAAAAATGACTATTCATTCTTGTTCTGTAGCGGGAAATTTTAGTAATGCATACTAAATAATAATAATAAAGAAAATTTGAAAAAATAATATCTCCATTGGTACGAGGCGTAGAGAATATCATATCATTATGGAGAGTCGTGTTTGTCTAACAAAACATACCCTATAATTTTTTAATTAATACAATGCATTTAAATGAAAAATTTTACCAAAATAGGAATATCCTTTTTAGTGAAAAGAATACTTACGAAGTACTCATTACGTTTGGGTAAACATTGTATTGCTTAGCCAATACAAATGAAACAACTCCCTGAGGAAAAGCAGCCTGAACAAATAAAAATAAAATATAATAATAACAATAAATAACTTGAATATTGAATTATAAATAATAAATATTCTTAAAAAAAAAAATGATTATGTAAAAATTTAGAGAGCAAAATAGAACCTGAATAATAGCGGTATGCAATATAATCCCGCGAAGACCGACCAGCTTAGATGTGGCGGCGCTGAGCATAGGACTGATGAGAAATCGAACGAGCATGGCAATGGCAACCTGGGACATGGAACAATCGATGATGGTAGGCTGTGCCGCCATGAAAATGCCCAAGCTGAACATGGCCAGCGCCTGGCCTGTGTCTGCAAACATTAATACACATCTTTGCAACACTGTTGGCATTTTTATGCCTTCCCTGCATTGCATTTATAATCATGGCCATTTTAAAACCAACAAATTTAGGGTTTCGTTGATTTAAGAATATATATTACTTAAATTGAATGGTAAATTCGAATTAATTCACAAACACTACACTTTCACAGATGGGTTTGTAACATTGAATATTTGTTAAAACTATAATATAATATTATTTTATAAGAAAAATATGATATAGTAAATGATTTATTTATGTCATTAAAAATTTGGGAAGGAAAGGGTTAAATGTAATGAAAATAAAGGGAAAAAGGAATATACTTGAATGATATGAGAGACCAAATGATGCCGATTAAGCTGGAATAAGTTATGGGATCTCGTGTAATCTTCTTTCCCAACCTAAATGCTATAAGCTTTGCCATTCCACTCCTTCCTGCCCAATTAAACACAAATGGTAAGATTCCATGTGGGTTACAAACCATTTTTTCATAAAGGTAAACACCGCATTCGAGTTTGGGGCATTATAATCCTTGCAGGTGTAGACACGATGTGGAATGGTCCTATCTAGAATGAAAACATGTAAAATACATTTTGGAGTTTGGGGCATTATAGCCCTTGTAGACACGATGTGGAATAGTCCTATCTAGAATGAAAACATGTAAAAGGGGTTTGGAAGAGACAGGTAACCATGGACAACATGTCCTATACAACCAAGATCGGACAAGCAATTGGGATATCTGTCAGGCCACTTAACTCTAGCAAAACCAAAAGAGGACAAACATCTAACTCTAGTAAAACCGAGCTTTACAAATGAATCTTGAAAAAGTGGAACGTTTTAGAATCTTGAAAGAGAAAGTCCTAAAAATAAGTTTGTATGGGCATGGGGTTACAAATGATATAGAGCCGTGATGCACAGGAGGATTGTCTCGAAGGGGAGGGTTTAAACTTAACAATAGGGGAAAAGCCCATATTAATTACCTGTGGAAGGCGAGGTATCCTCCGATGGGAGATCAACTTCCTTCTCAGGCTCAAAAATAAGCCCTACATGTCCAGAACCACCACCGCCGTCAGCCGGGCGTATCTCTTTCGGCGGAGATCCTCCATTACAATTACCTTCAGAGACAATTTCACCGTCGCGATCAACAGATACAACATTGACCTCTGTTTTTTCCGGAAAAATCTGCTTCAATCCGCTCATATCCACCAAACCACACTCCCCGCCAGTCCTCCGACCCTTCGCAACTGACAAACTCAATCTCTCCGCCTCGACAAATATCCTCGCAGATCTATACTCGAACAGAACAATCAACACATTGATCCAAATCGCGTTCTGAAAAATCAGAGTCTGAATCATGAAACTAATGGATTCTTGGCCGTACATCGCCGTCGTCATCGGAAGGCCGATAATGAGTGTATTCGGAAGCGAGGACAAAGAGAACACAGTGATCATCCATTCGAGAGAGGCGTTTTTGAAGAGGATTTTCCAGAGGAACAGAGCGGCGAGGGAGATGAGCTTCTGAAGCGAATCCGCGGCGAAGAGTCTGAGATTGATGCCAAGGAGGTTGTTAGATGAGATTACTCTGAAGGCGAGGAATGGAATGGCTAGGGTTCTGACAAAGCGGTTGATTCCGGCTGATTGCTCGGCGGTGAAGAGTTTGAGCCACCGCACAGTAATGTAGGCGATTGCTAGCGGAAAGTACATTGGGATGATTGCGAGGAGTATCTCGACAACGTCCTTGCCGGCGATCATGGCGCGACGACGGCGGTTTGCTGGTGATGATAATGGTGAAATTTACAGAGCTAGTAAAGAGAGAAGGGTACCATTTGTGTGTGAGTCTAGTATGTGCTTGACAGTTGTATATTTATAGGCTCCCAAATTGCATGTACTCCGCCCATCCCGCCCTTTCTTTGAATTTTGTTGTAACAAATTTGTGTCATTTGAATTGCATTTTTAGAGCAACTTTTTTTCTTATATTTAAAAAATTATATTATCATTTAAAAAAAAAAAAATATATATATATTTCTTCAAAATAACTACCGGAAAAATAATTACTGAACACGATCAATTTATATGATATGAGCGCGTTTTGGGAAGCCCAAAGCAAAGCCATGAGAGCTTATGTTCAAAGTGGACAATATCATAGCATTGTGGAGATTTGTTAGCATAGTTAAATTTAAAATTAATAATTTATAAAAATTTAGATTTCACTGTGTAAAGTTATGAGATCATTGACCCGTGCCGGAAGGTCAAGGGTGTTGGTGACCTGATGACAGGGAAGCCGTTTAAAATTAAAATTAATAATTTATAAAAATTTAGATTTCACTGTGTAAAGTTATGAGATCATTGACCCGGAAGGTCAAGGGTGTTGGTGACCTGATGACAGGGAAGCCGGCGATCGAAGCACCCCGTAACTATAACGGGATTTTAATTTTTGTTTGAAATGAATTTAATTAATTTTAGAATTTTGTTATTCAAATAATGTAAATTTTAAAATATGAAATATTATTCTATTTTATTTATGTGAATGACGTGACATATTTTGTTATTTTCCTTTTTATAATTTTTGTATTTTAGTGATTTATTTATTTCAAAATTGTGTCAGGTATTAATATTAAAGAAACTCAATTAAATATATAAAACTCTTTCGCAATTAATACAAATAATTATTTATTTTATTATAAATTATTTTTTTACTGCGTTACTTCTAACCTAATTAATTTTGCTCATCTTTATTAGATCAAACACACTAGTAATATTTATATGCATGAAATAAAGACTAAAGTAAAAACTTTAGTGTAATTACACTTGGACTATTTGGTAATTTTAAACGTGTTCATGAGGCATATGACACTAGGGGTTTCACTGACCTCTGAACGTTGCTACAGATTAGTGACCAGAGAAGGTTCATGGGGTGGTGTGAGCCCACCTGGGAACGCACACTTGCACGTGTAGGTCGTGTGTAGGGAAGTACTACACATCCATAGTTGTCCGAGACTGGAGGTCACCTCTAAATGAGAATAGAAATAGGTCCCAAGAGCATGATTGCATGTGTTTGCATTTGCATGGCCCTTTATCGTGGGGCAACTTACTAAGTATTCTTCAAAATTCTCAGATCGTGTGCCACATCATTTTTTAAGGTAAAGGCAATGCGCACATGTATGAAGGACGGCCGCATCGCAAGTAGAGACTGTGACACGTGCATAGGGTAGACTCATATTTAAATTCCTAGTCTTAGGTCAGAATAGATTGTTTTGTATTTCATCGTTTTAAATTATTTTTTATTTGTTTTTATTTTCTCTGAACTTCAGTGTTTCGTATACACGTAAGATCATGGGTGTGTTTGTTAGAGAAGATGATATTTTCTTTTAAGAGTTATATTTCCGCATTAAAGATGAGCACGAGACATGAATAGCAACTCTATGTAGAAATTTAGGGTCGTTACAATTATACCATCATCAAAGCTACAAAATCTTCAACATTTTAATTTGAGGAGTCCAACGAGCCCAACCAACTTAAACCATAGGCATATCACCAATTTAAACATAGCTCAGTTGATTATCATAAATCATTAACCAACTCCAAAACTCAAACTTATAAAATACAATAAATATAGTCATATCAATATACTTCAATATCTCCCTCACTTTTCAATTCGGACGGTCTGAATACAAGACGTCCTACACACTCTTATACCATGTTAAAATAACGAACCAACCCGAAAGCTAAAGTTAATAAATTTTAGTAGGTAAATGATTTTGATCCAGAGGTCATAGTTTCGAATTCTCGAGATCCATATATACGATAACATGGACTCGAGCATATCTCAAAAGATTATCAATTAAATGTTCACTTAATTCGATGAAGAAAGCATTCATGCGGAGGGCGTGCATGTGAGCTACCAAACCCTAATGGTCTATATTCCTTTGACTATGAACACAACAAAGAAAGTGAAGAAAATTCAATGAATTTAAGCACTGATTTTGAAATAAGGAAGCCAGATGGTGATTGATGCATGAGATATGATATGAACATATTAAATTTGCATGCAATGAAGCTCATAGAACGTGTCAATGGAAGGGTGGAAGATTTTGATACCTATTTCCTCATACTTCATCCTCTTTATCATTCCTTACATATCATTCAAATTCAAAACAAAACAAAACAAAAGGAAATTGTCATTCGGTTTGTTGTTATTCTTTAAGCTCTATCGAACACTCTAATCACTATCTGACTCGTTTTAGATCTGTTTTTCAGGTAAAATTTTGTACGTTTTAAGAATATTTTAAAATATTTATGAAAGTTTAGGAGTACTATTATAGTTAGACACACTTGTGTTTTGGTTTTAGTTACGTGTCGATATGTAAAATTCTCAATTTGAGAATTTGGAATACTCAACCAAAATCATGATTGTAAAGTTAGGTTATGTTTTTTTTCGATTTTGGTTGGGTCGAGTTTTTGAAAAACTGAAAATTTGGTTCAGTGTTTTTTTTTTGTAGGGTCAACCCAACTAGCATGAAAAATAGTGATACAACCGAACTTAATCTTACTTTTCATTTAAAAATATTAAAACATTTAAAATTTGTAAATGATATGAGTGAACGGTAATGTTTGATATTTGAATTTTATGAAATTGTAGTTATTAATGTATTATACGTTAGGGATAAATAAGATTTTTTAAATAATTGAAAAAAAAAATAATCTGACAACCAAACCTAACCCAACTTGGATTTAGATCGGGTTGGATTGGGTTAAGTTTAACTATGAACTGTATTTGAGTTGCTCGATTACCAACTCAACGAACCCAAAATTTCAAGTCTCTCAAAAAGATTTTTTTAAAATTGAAAATGAAACTTTCATAAAACGTCGTCTTCATCTTAAAACAGAGCCATGAACTTACGTGTTTTGAAAATATATTTAAAAACGACACCACAAATAACATAATAAAATAATTGAACGATTAAATAAAAAAATAAAAAATCATCCTATAGTTTAACAAAAATAAATGCAACTATCCTATGCATGTGTCATGGTCTCGAATTGCGATGTCGTCGTTAGCCATACAGAAATATCTTGCCTTAACCTGAAAAATGTAATAGTACACGGAAATACTCAGTAAGTGACTTCACTGTTGAGGGTTAAATGCAAGAACATGTCAATACAATGACAGAACCTATCCTTTCAATCTATTTTCCCACAGTACTGTTGGATGATGAAAGTCCCACATCGACTAAGTTAGAGAATAATCATGGGTTTATAAGTGAGGAATACTAACTCCATTAGTGTGGAGTCTTTTAGGGAAGCCCAAAGCAAAGCCATGAGAGCTTATGCTCAAAGTGGACAATATCATACCATTGTGGAGAGTCATGTTCGTCTAACAAGTATTATCCTAACGGGTAACTTGGATGTGCACCATATGCTCTACACACGATTCATACGTGCGAGTATTAACATATATATATTCCTTTGACCATAAACACAAAAAATAAAGCGAAGAACATTCAATGAATTTAAGCACAGCTTTTGAAGTAAGGAAGCCACATGGTGATTGATGCATGAAATAAGATCTGATGGTATTAAATTTGCATGCAATGAAGCTCATAAAACGTGTCAATGGCGGGGTGGAAGATTTTGATACCTGCTTTCTCATTTCTTTCTCATGTTAGAACAAAGTAAAAGGTTACTTTTGGTAGACTTTTTCAAATTTTAAATACCAGTAAGAACTTTTTAAATTTAATTAGAGAAGAAGAGAAAAAAAAAGGATGGAAAACGACGTCGAAAACTACCGCGTAGAGGAGAGGGAAATCGATGTTGGAATAATCTCGTTAAGTCGGGTAAGGAAGACGACTCCATCGGATCTAGATCAGACCCAAACCGGATAACTGCAATCTAAATTGCGTCGGCTCAGCCCAACCCGAAAATTGATAACCCGAAACCGAAACCGAATAGATCTACAACCCGTGCCTCGACCTGAAGCACTTGCACGATGTCGCTCGCTCTGCTGCTACCACGTGTCATCCAACAGCGCAAGCAGCCCTTCGGCTCGGCTTGGCGGCTTCCCCGATGGCTTCTCGATTGTTTTCGTTTTGACTTGCCATTTTTAGCTCGGTTTCCACTATTTCGATCCTCCTGGACGTGTTTTCGGCCACAATTAAGGTAATCGATGTCATTTTGGAGCTGTATTGCACATTTATTAATTGATTATTCATTTAATTGTGAAATACTAATGGAAGGTGATGTACGGTGTGGTAGGAAACAAATCCCGGTGACCTTTGGAGTAGCTCTTGAGGAATGGGAGCTTACGTAATTAAATTAGGGAGTACTCGGCCAAGGCCAACCAAGGAAGTGGTCTTACTATAAGATAGGCTAGAAATTGTGTGTTACAGTTATATTTACGATGTATGAGCTATGATGCATGATAATGTACGTAATTTATATATTTCGATGCATGATGTCTATAATATATTTGATGCACTTAATAGTGTTATGATGAGTATGATGATTGCATGATGTTTATTTTAATATGTTGATGTTTTCCATATTAAGCATGCTATATGATTATGAGTCACATATTGCGTCATGTTGATAGATTGACCTAGGACACAACCCTAAGAGCAGGAAAATGATATTAATACAAATATCCAACGAGAGGGTTGTATTAGAAGAGATGTTAAGATGAGAATTAGAAGAACCTCATGCATGTTGTATGTATGTACATATGCATAGGGATACTTCCCCTAGAGATGACGAGTATGGACGCGCACAATATGGTGAGCATGGTGATCATGGGGATCATGATACCAGGGGTTCCACTAACCTCCGGACGTCGCTACAGACAGTTAGCTTGACCAGAGAGGGTCTAGATGGTGTGCGAGCCCCTTGGGGATTCACACTCGCACGTGTGGGTCGTGTGTAGGGAAGTACTACACATCCATAATTGTCCGAGACTAGGGGCTACCCTTAGTATGATATGAGATAGAAATAAGTCCCTACAGCATATTTGGACGTGATTACATTTAGCAGGCCCCTGTAACAGGGTCCCTTATTGAGTTTTCTTAGAAATACTTAAGCCGTGTGCCACAACATTTTTTAGATAATAAAGGCAAGGCGCCCATGTACAGATAATAGCGACATCGAGAGTAGACTGTGGCATGTGCATAAGATAAATGCATATTTAAATTCCTAGTCTTAGGTTAGAATATGTTGTCTTGCAATTCATCGTTTTAAATTATTTTATTTTATTCTTTTGAATTGTAGTATTTCGTTTGAAACATATAAGACTTACAGTGTTTTCTAGAAGATGAAGTTTTAAATGTTTTCAATGTTTATGATATAAATGATGTTTCTTTTAAGACTTATATTTCCGCATAAGAGATGAGTATGAGACGTTAATAACAATTTTGTGTATATAGAAATTTAGGGTCGTTATAGTTGCCATCAGAGCTCTAGATTTTAGATTATGTAGACTAGCTTACGATGTAGGCTTGACACGTTTTATGGTCCAACGTCGGTACCCCGTCACCATTAGGTACGCCTTGCACAAGATAACAAAAGAGAAACGTTTTCGAACTCTGCATGCATTGAATTTGTTTATAAGAGTAAAGGGGGTTAATGTCACTTTTAGCCCATTGAGGGAGAGGCCCTAAATTCAAACCTTTGAAACCCACATGGGCTAGCCCATTCTCATGTGTGAGAGCGAGAGAGAGATGGATAAGGGATAAGGTTACGTGGCAAGTTCCATCCAATGAGAAGAGAGGGTTGATCAATGACAGCCTCCCACAAAATTTCCATGGCCACCAACAACAATAAGCTTAAGCTAAATCCAAAAACCAAATCTAAAAATCTCACCTCATTCATCTTCTTCTCTGCCACTGATTCTTCCACAAGCCAAAGGCAGCAGCAGCCATGGCCACTGCAACCTCCCCCATTGCCAGTCAGCTCAGTTCCAGCTTTGCTTCTTCCACCACCAGAGCTTTGGTTGCTCCCAAAGGCCTCTCCGTTTCGCCGCTCCGACGCATCCCTGCAAGAACACACTCCTTCACTATCAGAGCCATCCAAGCTGATAAGGTAATCTAACCAACCATCATCTCCCAATTCTATTTCATCTGCCTAGCTTTGAGCTTTTAAGAATATTTCATGCCAAGTAATGTATACTATTTCAAGGGATACTAACTTAAAATCTCAAATATAAATGTATTAGTTGTATAAAGATGCGAGATCTCACGTTCGTTTGGTAGGAGAACGAAACATTCTTTACAAGGTGTAGAAACCTCTCCTAAGCACAAGACGCGTTTTAAAAACGTTGAGGGAAAGCCCGGAAGGGAAAACCCAAAAAGAACAATATCTGTTAACGATGGACTTCGATCATTACAAATGATATTAGAGCCATACACCAGACCATGTGTCAGCGAGTAGGCTGAGCCCCGAGGGAGGTAGGCACGAGATGGTGTGCTTGTAAGGACGCGGGTCCTTGAAAGGGAGTGGATTGGAGGATCCCACATCGATTGGAGAAGAGAACATGTGTCAGGACGCTGGGCCTCGAAGAGAGGTCGGTTGGGAAGAGAACAAAACATTTTTTTTTTATAAGAGAATGGAAACCTCTCTCTAGCAAATACATTTTAAAAACCTTAAGGGAAAGTCCAAAGAGGATAATATCCGCCAACCGATACAAAAAAAAATTTAAAGAGGGTGTTTTGGGAGTGCATTTATGGTTAAGCAATTCTCCGTATAATAATAAGCTATCGATATTGTTGCAGCCAACTTACCAAGTGATCCAGCCAATCAATGGAGACCCATTCATTGGAAGCCTTGAGACTCCAGTAACCTCAAGCCCACTGATAGCATGGTACCTCTCAAACCTCCCAGCCTACAGAACAGCAGTCAGCCCATTGCTGAGGGGAATTGAAGTAGGTCTGGCACATGGTTTTCTTCTGGTCGGTCCATTTGTCAAAGCTGGCCCTCTAAGGAACACAGCCTACGCCGGAGGAGCTGGCTCACTGGCCGCCGGTGGTCTCATTGCCATTTTGAGCATCTGCTTGACAATGTATGGCATTGCATCCTTCAATGAAGGAGAGCCATCCACTGCACCATCATTGACCTTGACCGGCAGGAAAAAGACCCCTGATCAGCTGCAAACCGCTGATGGGTGGGCGAAATTCACTGGCGGGTTCTTCTTTGGCGGGATCTCCGGCGTGATCTGGGCATACTTCCTCCTCTATGTCTTGGACCTCCCTTACTTTGTCAAGTAGATTTTGTATCATGTTCTGTTCCTGCAATGTAACTTCCATGTCTGTGTTAAGGAAACATAAAATTGTATATTTCATGCCAAACCTCTTTGCTAGATCCTTTGTGATTGCATATTGATTTCCTTTCTAGAACTGTTATGTATGCACCCTCCTTCCATTTAAGAAAAGCTATTCTCATAAGTCTAATCCAAGCCTTGGACGCATCATGGAATGGATCAAAAAACTGAACACGTTTCCAATACCGTCAGCAGCTCCCACTGAAGCAGTTGTAGCAGCTCCAGCACCCATTGATTTTGCACCTTCTAAAATCTCGGGGTAGATTCTCCCCCTCGTTCTTTTATCTTGGGCATTAGAATAACGTAAGTTTTTGCATGAAAATTCACAGGCATCAGATTCTCCATCTCTTCTCACCAATAATCACCACACGAGCAATGACCCGAGTTAAAATGATGGAAACGATGAATATCTCGTACAATGATCTCCCTGCATAAAAGTTGAGATGTTAACTTCATAAAGTTATGACAATCAGTACACATCCTAAGGTTCTTCATGATTCGGATTGGAATGGCAGAATCCAAACTGATTAAGCCATAAGCTATTGCAAGCTTTTCACTATGCCAACCAAGAAGCACTTCACCCTGTTCTTCTTCTACATCTTGCATCACCAATTTTACATCAAACAAATACCCAATTTCCTTCAATCTTCCAATAAGATTGTCTAGATATTCATATATCTGAGCGTGTTGAGGGTGCGATCGATCTCCCGCAACAAAAGAATGGACTTGATTTTTCACATGAATCCAAGATTGACCAGGTGTTTTGCTAATCCCTCTGTGTTGCATAAATCTTCTTGTTCTGAAAGCTTCTTCCCATTTCTGATTGCTGGAGCACATGTTCGATAGTAAAATGTAAGGCCCTTCGTCTAGTGGTTCGAGTCTAAACAATCTTTCAGAAACCCAATTCCCCATTTCGATGTCCTTGTAAAGCTGACAAGATGACAGGAATGCCTTCCAAACTGCATTAAGGTGTGATAAATCATTCTCATAGATGAATTTCTTGACTTCGTTCAGACGTCCAGCTCGACCGTAAAGATCGACCATACAAGTGAAATGCTCAACCTTAGGCTTGATTGCATAAACATCCTTCATCATGTTAAAATATAGACGGCCATCTTCAATTAGCCCAGCATGACTGCAAGCTGCTAAAACTCCTATAAAAGTAACCTCATTTGGTATCATTCCCTCATATCTCATCTTTTCAAACAGCCTAATGGCTTCCTTACCTTGCCCGTGTAGAGCACATCCAGTGATCATGGAAGTCCATATCACAACGTTTAAGTAAGTCATTTGCTCGAAAATTTGACGGGCACAATCCAGACTCCCACCTTTAGCGTACATGTCAATCAAGGAGGAAGTCAAGTGAGCATCAAGCTGTTCCCCTGTTTTCTGAATATATGCATGGATTTGACGTCCAAGCTCGAAAACGCCAGCATTAGAACAAGCGGAAACAACGCTTGCAATGGTAAATTTATCCATTAGAACCCGTTCACGAACCATAGAAACAAAGGTTTTGAAGGCATCTTCATACTTGCCATTTCGAACATATCCAGACACCATTGAGCTCCGTGAAACAATTTCTGTCATCGTGTCGCTATATACAATGTCGAAATCTTGTTTTTTTCCAAACCCGGAAGGCATTTGACTATATATCACCGATGCTTTTTCCAAATTTCCACACTTAATGTACATATTTATCAGTGAACTCTTTACAAATCCATCATTATGAAAACCACACCTGAGAATTCGGCCATGTACTTGTCTACCGAGCTCGATAATCAGTAAAGAAGAAACGACACTTAAGGCTATGGAAGAAGTAACTTTGTTAAACTCAGGTTGGTTCTCCACCATCTCATAGAGTAGCTCCAATGCTTCATTCAGATACCCACCTTGCATTAGCCCACATATTACTGTATTCCAACTTGCAGTATCTCTGCAAGGCAAGTTTCTGAATAAATCAAGAGATTTGTTAACATCACTACGGACATGCACACCAAGCAATATGTTGTAAGTAGCAGTGCTCTTTTCTCTCATTGAATCAAACAACTTTTTGACATAATCAAATTCATCAAACTTAGCATACAAATCAAGCATAGAATTCTCCAAGACAACATCTAAGCTAACCCCACTTCTGAGTATCCATCCATGAATTCCCTTACCCATTTTCACATCACCCACTCTAGAGCAAAGTTTAAGAACAGTAGACAAAGTAAAAGGATTTGGATAAACACCTTCAACCAGCATTTCTCTAAACAGTTGCAATGCCATTTCAGAACAGTTTACTCTAGCAAAACCGGATATAAGGACCGTCCATGTAAGAACATCTCTGCTAGGCATTTCATCGAACACTTTCCGTGCATCGTTTAATTTCTCAGATTTCACGTAAGAACTCAAAATAAACTTCCTCGATTCGAAAATAGAACCATTCTTGACCATCTTGGCATGAAGGGTATTGGGCAAAGAATCATTCGAAGAGTGGTAACTACAAGATTCGAACAGGTGGTGCCCAGAAAAGTTGAATGGTATGATTTTCGGGGCCATTGTAACTTGAGAAACAGAACGGGAAAGTTTCAGAAACGCAGTAGAAGCAGAGTAACCACTGCACAGATTCATCCATCTCATCTTAAACCACGTTCTTCAATGATAATGTAGGCGAAGGAAAGTGACGATTCTCCAATAGAATTCGAAACAGGGCATTAGAGCAGTGAGGAAACAACCCAAAAACCAAATTCAAACCCATCGCTAGCCATATCAAGCAATGGGTAGAGTTAAATCCCCCAACCCGAACTTAGAGTTCATATTGGCTGAATTCGCTCCATAAATGTAAAACAGGACATCAACGAATGAGGTTAGAACCCGGCTGATTAAAATTTTTTCTTCCGAAACCATATTTTAATTTAGCTAAATGTGATAATTTAAATTTGATCCAATGGATTGGGTTTTTAGGGTTTTCAGGTAAGTCAATGAGAATTTTAGAAAGGAAATTTCTAAATGGAAACAAAGTTCATATCAAATTAAAAATGTTGGCTAATGAAGCAATGGTGAGTGAGTGAATCCTTTCGACAAGAACGAGATTAGACGAAATATTCGACGACCTACAAAGCCAAAAAAGATCATGTAAGACCTAAGTCGAGATATAGTTTCTAAATCTATTACCAAACATCTATCCTCTCATGTTTTCAAATCATTAAGATCAGTATTAACAAAATCCGCTTAGAGCACGAGTTGGGAGAATAACAAAAGGCTTTATATGAATTCGCTTTTCGAACTATAGAGTTAGAATCGGTATATAAATGTATTTTTGTATGCTTTTTGAACAAACAACACACGAAATCGACGAAATTGCCAAAACATCTGACTTCTCCAAAGCTACTAAAAATGTAAAAAAAGAAAAAGAAAAAGAAAATGAACAGTTGGGAAAGAATTTAGAACAACAAAATGACAGGCAAAAAAGAAAAAGAGTGAATACTGTGGGGTTAGAACTTATAGAGGTGGGAAAAAATAGGAAGACAAGGAGAAGCCAAGGAAGAGCAAGCCTCCAACTGTTGCAACTGTGCCCTGTGATATCTTTGATGCCAACATGCTTCCACCTATCACTGCCATTGATGTGCAAACTGAATGCCC